TTGAAAGTCATTTGAAAAGTCCCTGAAAGGTCACTGTCAATAAAAATGGATGGAACTAGAAAAAACATCCTGATGAGCATGAAAGATGAACATGGTATGTACTCATAAGTGGATGCTAGCAAAGGACATTGAGCCTATAGTTCATGATCCAAGAGAAGCTAAGTAACAAGGTGAACCTTTAGAAAAACATATATAGATCCACCTGGAAAGGGGAAATAGACAAGATTGCCTGACAAAATTGGGAGCTTGGGGATGGAAGGAGAAGGGAGAGTGGAAGGGGAAGGGGAAAAAAGAAGGGGAAGGGGGGAGGAGAACTTGAGGGAACAGGATAGTCGAGATAGTGGAAGGACAGAGGTGAGAGCAAGGAAAGAGATATTTTGATTGAGGGAGCCATTATGGGGCTAGCAAGAAACCTGACTCTTGAGAAATTCCCAGGAATCCACAAGGATGATCCCAGTTAAGACCCTAAACAATAGAGGAGAGGGTGCCTGAACTGGCCTTGCCCTGCAGTCAGATTAATGAGTATCTTAAATATCACCATAGAACCTTCATCCAGCAACTGATGGAAACAGAGGCAGAGACCCACAGTGGAGAACTGGGCTAAGCTCCCAAAATCCGGTTAAAGAGTGGGAGGAGTGAGAATATGAGCAAAGAGGTCAAGACCATGATGGGGACACCCACTGAAACAATCTACCTGAGCTATTGGGAGCTCACCAACTCCAACTTCCATACAGGGAAGGAACCAGCATAGGACCAAACTAGGCCCTCTGAATGTGGGTGACAGTTGCAAGACTGGGGCAGACTGAGGGGCCACTGGCAGTGACACCAGGATTTATCCCTTCTATTTGTACTGGCTTTATGGGAGCCTATTCTTTTTGGATGGATACCTTGCTCAGCCTAGATATAGTAGGGAGGGCATTGGACCTTCTCCAAAGCCATATGCCTTACCCTCTCTGAGGAGTGGATGGGGGTAGGGTGGGGTGGGATAGGTGGAGGGAGTGGGAACTGGGATTGGTGTGTAAAATGAAAAAAGATAGTTCTCTTTTTTAAAAAAAAAAGAATAAAAGAATTTTTTAAAAGAACACTATGTTAAGCTTTAGGTCAAACAACAGTAATAATAATTTCATTTCAATGACTCCTCAGTGGCACAGCAGTGTTTTCTTGGGCCAGAGTTAATAATATTCCAGCCACTCGAACCTACTAGTGAAGAACAGGTGAATAAACCTTTCTATAGAGAAGTGGATATGGGTACTTTACCAAAAGCCAGTCACCTAGAAAGTTACTACGACATTCTGTTATATTAAAGGATCTAAATTGAAAGCTATGCTTATGTTGTTCTAACAAAATTACTTAAACCTTTGTGTTTGTGAACATTTGCTGATATGGTCAGTGATCTGATGCCATTCATAGTGTCTCTATACCTAGTCCATAGTGACTGGCAAAGAAAACCATAGTATTCTAGGATTTCCTATAAAGCAGTGGTTCTCAACCTGTGAGTCTCAACCCCTTTGGGAATTGCATGTCAGATATTTATATTACATTTCATAGCAGTAACAAAATTAGTTATGAAGTAACAATGAAAACAATTTTATAACCACATGAGGAACTATATAAAACGGTCACAGCACTAAGAAACTTGAGAACCACTGCTCTAAAGCAATAGCAATCTGTAGGGATAAGTTCACCTCGGGCGAATGTTTACCTATAAATCTGGCGAGTGTGCTCGCCCGCTCACTTCTGCTTTCCTGGTCTCCGCAGGAACCGTGGTTCTGTAAGTCTATTTTTTCCATTAAAGCTATAGATATATTTTTACAATCTGTCTGCATTCTTTTACACCGGTACAGCAATCATACACACAGGCACACACATGAAGCAAAATGTCTTTTGATAACTGGAAGTGTTTGTGTGTGTACACACGTGCATGAGCCTGCATGTGTGCATGTGTAAATGATGATGATTTAAGCTGTTTTCTAAAAAGTCCCAGGCTGGAAATGATAGCACACCTATAATCCCAGCACCTGGGAGGCTGAAGCAGGGAACATAGCAAGAGCCTGTCTCAAAAAAATAAATAAATAAAATCCTCCAGGCATGGTAACACATGTCTTTAATCACAGTACTCAGAAAACAGAGGCAGGTGGATTCTTTGTGAGTTGGAGACTAGCCTGAACTACATGTTGAATTCCAGGATAGCCAGGGCTACATAGTGAGATCCTGTCTCAAGAAGCCAAAAGTAAGATAAAAATCCCAAAATAACATTTTCACAGATCTTCTCTTCTGTAATAAATTCAGTAACTTCTCTTGTAAATTTACATTAATTTAACCTTTTACCTATGTGTTTTCTTGCATTTTGGTGTTATTGTTTCTGTTCTTAGATTCAGACTTTAGTTACTTATACTTAATGGAAAAATGACTAAGGTAACATCACCATTTTAATTATCATTATGATAAACTTTGCATTGAAGTATTATGTACATCCAGAAAATATAGAATGTGTTTTTGTACAGCTGAATGAATTTTTATGAATTAAACGTATTCATTTAACTGCCACTCAGATCAAGAAATAGAACATTATCAACACCCCAGAAGCCTTTCTTCTGCTCCCTGCCAGTAACTGACCTCCCTCACCATAGGTAACAGTTTTGCCAGTTTTCGAACTTCATATAAATAGAATCCTATAGTATGTATTCATTTGAGAGTGGATTGTTTTGTTTATCATTATGCTTGTGCGATCCATCTATGCTGTTGCATGTAGTAGTTCATTTTTCACTCATGCATCATATCTCATTGTTTGAATATGCCACAATTTACCCATTCACCTTTAGTAAGACATTTAGGTTGTTTCCAGCTATTGTAGAAAGTGAACCTTTTTACCCTCTGTAATAATAAAATGTCTGTACATTTTTATTAAAAATATATTTAAAATTTAAATATAATAAAAATATATTTGCTAGGTCAAAGAACATATATATCTGTTCATATCCTGTACATATCTTATAACTGTATTTGCTCCCAAAGTGGCATATATCAATTCATGCCCAAGCCAGCAATGTAACAATAGGTCTATTTGCTTCCGTTTCTTACCATCACTTAGACCTTCAAAGACCAGTTTGGGGTCAATTTTTTAAATATTAGCCGTTCTGGTAGATAACAGTGATTATGATTTCAATATCTATGATAGCTAGTTAGGTTGAGAGCCTTTTGTTTATCTGCTGCAAGAGGTAGCCTTATTTATGAAGTGTCTGCCTAAATCTTTTGCCTAGTTTTTAATTGAATTTTTTGTATATCTTTAATTGTAAATATCGTCTACCCCAAAAATTGCTTTTTCACTCTCTTTTTGTAACCAAAGTTTTAGTGTGTATGTTTCTTCAATCTTTTCCTATTGTGTTTGGTGGCATTTGTGTTTCATGTAAAATATCTTTGCCTATCCTGATGTCATAAATGTATTCTCCTCTGTGTTCTTCCAGAAGCCTTATAAACAAAAGCTTCATTCCAGAAAATTTATAATCAACTTTTTTCTTGTACAGTTTAAAGCACTTGAGATAAACCATTAGTTAATATTCTATAATTTCCTTGTAAGGCCATGCACCAAAGAAGCACACTATATATTTATTTGATCTTGAAGTCTCTGGAGAGCATGTATTTTGTCCTTTTCAGTTAGAAGCAGGCCTCTGAATAAAGTTTTAAAATTTAGCTGCAGTTAATGCTTAAGATTTCTGCATTTTCTTCCAATATTTATTGCTTTTGGATTTCCATATAATAGAATAATTTTAATGTACAAATATATATATTTGTTAACTATTCAAGATACTTTATTTGAAATCATAAGCTTTGGGAAGAATGCTTAGAAGAAAATATGTACTTTCTGCACTTACATGGTCAATTATATATATTACATGTATTGATATTGTTTTATTAATTATCCTACACATATAATGACTCTAGAATTAAATTAGCTCTAAAATCCTTCCAGAGGAATGGTTTTCATTATTTTATGATAATACGAGTATTTCTCCCCCCCCCTTTTTAGATAACCCACACTGTTCTTTAAAATTGCCAAGAAAAGAAAAGATAATCCAGATTTCCTTTTGGTTATATTTTCTGATGCCTCATCTGGTACTTAAACCATCAATTATAGATTAAGTTGTAGACATTTCTTTCCCTGACTGGTTTTCTTGCCTTGAGTTCTTAGGTATCAGAAAGGCCATGGATTTGCTCAAGCTCACTACAAAAGTTGATGGAATAATAGGAATTTTTTTCCATCATGTAGCCCTGGCTCAGACCTATGGCTGCTCTCATATCTTGAGTTTATGCAACTCTATGATCTCTTGACTTTAACTCATTTGCATAATGAAAGTAGTAAGAATTATAACACTAGTGTTACTGAAACATGTTTTTATTATATGCCATAACAAATACTTTTATTTCATGTAAGCATAATAATCTTACAAGTTTGGTGTTATTTAATAATTTATTATTCTTTTCCCTACTTTTTCATAAAGAAAACTGAACCTTATCTAAATTAAGTAATTTTTCAGAACCACTTTACAAATGAATGACAGGAAAAAGAAACAGGTTTGTGTAAGTCTAAAACCTAGTCTGTCCATGGAAGAAAAAAATCACGGGTTTTGCTGAGGTGTATGTTTAAACATGATACCTTTGTGCAGCTAACACTCAATCCCAGATTTTTCCCTTTTAAATATACTTGGTGACCATTAGGTCAAGAACACACAATACATCAACATTTTATTAGAATAAATAGTAGTAGGGTCCCAGATCTGTGTAGGTGAATGAAGCATATCATTATCAGTCAATAAGTTCACAGCAGATGATGAAACTGAATTTTCAGAATCATTTGATTCTAGAAAGGGATCTGCCATATCTCCCAGAAGGAATAGCAAGACATGTGCCCTTGTGTAGCCAGAGTCATTTGGCTTATCCTGTCAGTACCTGAAATCTGTCATTTGTTGATAGTTGCCGATGTCTTTCTATTGCTTTTCTAGGATTATATCTGAAAGGGTAAAGGAAGTTCTCTTTGTCCGGCCGCGGAAATATATCCGTTGCTCTAGCCCAGAGTCTGCAGAGCCTGGCTATATCAATACCCTAGAGCTGGCAGCATCTACATGCCGATATGACCTAGATGACATGGACACCTTCTGGCTTCAAGAACTCAATGAAGACCTTGGAGAAATGGGTAAGCTGTTTTCTTAAAAGTAAATTGTGCTTTGACTTTCACCAGTGATTTTTTTTTAAATTGGTAGAACTCTGTAAAACTTTTTTCATCTGCTTTCCTTTCTTACCTACCCTTTCACTTATTTTTATTTTTGAAGAAATGAGCTATTTATTCAAATGTATAAAGTATAGCAGTATTTTATCAGTATTAATTTTAATCAGTATTAAGATAGAGTAATAAAATTTAAGTGATCCTTCATTTATTCAGTATAATAGCATAGATACAGATAGCACATAAGTTTCATGAAGTTGCTTCATAATGCTAAATGTTAGTGTAGTGATGGTTGATTGAACTTCTAGTTAGAAAGGATACTGAGACCTGTTTGTGGATCAGTCCTGAAAATCACTCTTAATAATGGACAAGTCCATAGAGGTGTGTCTCTCAGGTGTTAGAAAAAAAGGTTTATCAGTATTTAACAGTACCCACTATCCTACTACAAGTGACAGGTTACTATGACCATTGCCCTTTAATATAAGGCTTATAATTTTGTTGCCCAGAATGGTAGGCCTATGGAAAAATATCTCCAAAGTAGTTCTTAGCTACCTTCAGTTTGTTCTCTATGTTAAAGCTAGTATATGAATACATGTGGAAAAAGTTAAAATTATATTAAATCCTCTTTGGCATGGCGATGGAAGCTATTCTGCCAACAACTACTTCTTAATTTTTGTTTTATAATCTTAGTATGTTTTGTTTCTTCTTTATTTGTTCTCTAGGAGGAATAAGGGTGTGGCCAATTTAGAGTGTAAATCATAGAGAATGGAATAAAAGAAGGACAAAGACATAATCAAGTACCACAGTGTGTGGTTTTGCATGCAAATGGAATTCATGATAACACAACCATCACAGTGCTTCTTTTGATAAGAAACTGCCCTATAAGTTCAATGTTTTACAACTAATTCTCTTTGGATGAGGATTACATTTTTTTATAATGGAAAAGTTTGATTTGCAGAAAAAATGGACATTCAGTGCAGAAAATACAAATGTATACCTAAAGTATATTCTGTGTCCTAATATTAACATATTTCTTTGCCATGATGCATTTGTCAGGATGAAGAAACCATCACCATTAACTAATGTTCCAGAATTTTGGGCTTTTTATTTTTTCTCTACTAATCTTTTTCTTGTCTAGGATCCCATCCTATCCAGGACAATACATTTCATTTAATCTTAGAAGAGATGTTTTGTGTGTATAGGGGTGAGGCTTCATGGGCTTTTTCCCCTGTCTACTTTAGCATGTCTATTTGTGTCATCCTTGTTCAGATCATGTATAGGTATTCATGTTGGTGAGATTTTGTGTGTGTAGCTTCTGACATCACTAGGAGACACAATCTCACAGCAAACTCCCTGGTCTGGTCTTCTTGCTTTTACAATCATACTGCTCCCTCATCTGAAATGTTCCCTTAGCTTGAGCAGACATGTTTTGTAGATATATCAAATGAGACTTGGCTCTACAACTCTACATTTTGATTGGTTGTGGTTTTCTGTGGTGGTCTATATTTGTTTCAAAGACAAGTTTCCTTGATGAGGGGTGAAGACTACACTTATCTGTGGATATAAGGACAAATGTTTAGAATGTAGTTAGGGATTATATGGGCTTAATAAAGTAGTGATTTTAATAAAGTAGTGATTTTTAGGTTCTCCTTCAATATCCATGACTTTGCTTGCATTGAGTAATTAGCTAGGTTTCCAGTACGGTTTCCCTCTGTTAAGTGGGTTGTTTTTTTTTATTTGACCAATGAAAGTAAGTTAAGTGGGTTTTAAGTTCAATTAGAGAGCTATTGGTTAACCAGCAAGGTGTGAATACCACTATTGCATTCTTAGTGTTCTTGTGCAGTACTCAACCCTACACAAAGAACTACGGGCAATCAATGAATGTTTGAGAGCAAGAGAAACAGAGATCACAGTGACTAGTTATCCAGTACCAAATGCTTAACTCTGAAAACATACATACATGTAGCATTATACAGATTGACCAGGTTATATTTAGGAACCTATATTTATAGACATATATTCATGGAGCAATAAAGAAGCCATGTGTTTAAAGGAAAATGAGAAAGGTATATGAAAAGGTTTGGAGAGAGAAATGATGTGAATATATTATAATCTCAACAAAATAAAAAATAGGTTTTTGATTGAACTTTAGTTTTTAAATATTTTAGATGTATTTATTTTATTTATATGAGAGTTTTGCCTATATGTGTGTACATGCACTACATACATGCCTGGTATCTGTAAAGGCCAGAAGTCGGCATCAAATCCCTTGAAACTGTGTTGAGGGAGCTGTGGGTTGCATTCCGCCACCCAGCTCCCGCCACCGGCTAGCTTTACCCGAAATAACAACACACAAACTGTATTCATTTAAACACTGCTTGGCCCACTAGCTCTAGCCTCTTACGGGCTAATTCTCACATTTTGCCTAACCCATTTTTAGTAATCTGTGTAGCACCAGTCTTACCAGGAAAGATTCAGCATGTCTGACCTGGCGGCTTGCTTCATCGCATCTGCCCTGGCGATGAGCTGCATGGTGTCTGTCTGAGGCGTCTTACCTCACTTCCTCTTCCTCCCAGCACTCTGTTCTGTTTACTCCACCCACCTATGTTCTAACCTATGAGGGCCAAGCAGTTTCTTTATTATAATTAACCAATGACCTTCCTCCGTCAAAACTGGAGTTACAGATGGTTGCAATTCACCATGTAGGTACTGGTACTTGAGCCTAAGTCCTCTAGAAGAACAAGTGATCCAGAGTTGTTGAGGAGGATTGCCTTGTGTTGGATTTTTCCTTAGGAAGAATGATGTTATAGTCACACATTTTAGAGCTTAAAATAAACTTTTAAAAATATTAAATTAAGCATTTTTGCTCAAGTTAAAGAATTTAAAATGTGTATGCTGGTTATATACTGGGTACAATACTAACCAATGAGCAAACATCCCATCCTCACAAGTTAATGAATTTAGTATTATCATTTTATAGATAAGAACAGTAAGATAACAAAGTTTGCATAGCTAATATGAGATAAAGTTGGAATTTGAATCCAAGTTTTTATAACTAGACTCTATAACTCTGCTTTTTAAAATTAGCTTATAAAGTAGCAAGTTTATTAAATTTTCATACATACTAAAATTTAGTTTATCCAGTCTTCAGTCCCTCATCTCCCCACTTCCCATCCCTGCTTAAACCCTTATATTTGGTATTCCCCCTTGTGTTTTCAAATCTATTACCTTTCCCACCCATCTTTGTTAATTGTGGCCTCTTTTTTTTCTCCTGTCATAGGTCCCTTTCTATTTTCCTGAACTCTACATAATCATTCCTACACAAATATAAATATATTAAAAATTAGACTATAGGTTCCACATAGGAGTGAAAACATGGTGCTTATCTTTCTGAGACCATGTTACCACACACAATATATTTTCCAGTTATTTCCGCTTTCTTGTGAACTTCATTTTTTCTTTATGAATTGATAAAATTATACTATATTTGCATTATTCATTTATCAGTTGAGCATTTGTTTGGGCTGATTCCATTTTCTTGCTATTGTCAATAGAGCAACAGTAAAAAACATGGATATGCAAATATCTGTGTGATGGGATATAGAATTCTTTGAGTATATATCCAGACTAGACACTATATGCTTTGTTCCTGCATATCTATATGTGTATTTGATATATACATATGTGTATGTAAGTATATGTATATGTATATGGTATGTCTAGGCTGAAAATAAGCCAGAGAAAATCTTTGCTTTGTAAGTAGATAAAATTTTAAAAGGTAATTCATACATATTTTAAAATTCTTTAGATGTCTTACATTAAAAATATTGTTGGATAAATTTATCTTGAATCATTTTGAAAATTATTCCTTAGTTTCTAAAAGTAACTAAATAATGTTCCAAAAATCATTGGTCCTCTTAAGAAGAAAAATACTTAGTTTTTACCAATATCAGCCCTATGAATCTTTCAGTTGGGTTAAATATGGAGGGTGAGGAGAAAAATAAAAGTATAAAAAGAAAAACAAATCAGAAAGAAAAGGGGTAATTTCAGAATTACATTTAAATCTTTGTGAATGTTGAGAGGTTTCTATTATTGCTTGTTATTGAAAAATGGTATTTGATTTTTTTAAATCAGTTTTGAAAAACAGTATTTCATATACATATCCATATATACATATTACCTAGGATTTTCTTTTATGGGTTAATACATTATCAAATGAAAACTTCTTGTTATGACCACTAAGTATTTTTAGTGAAGCTAAGTTACTAATACATTATTTGTGCTCAAACAAGTAAAAGATTTAAATGCTACGAATTAAAGTGTTCAAAGTTACACCTTTGGTTCAAGTCTTATTAGTAGGAATAAGAGAAAATTAATTAAGGTTTTAGCAGGAGATTGACTAGGATTTATTTTTATTTTTTTCGAGACAGGGTTTCTCTGTAGCTTTGGAGCCTGTCCTGGAACTCCCTTTGTATACCAGGCTGGTCTCGAACTCACAGAGATCCGCCTGTCTCCGCCTCCCGAGTGCTGGGATTACAGGCGTGGGCCACCACCGCCCGGCTAGGATTTATTTTTTAATTTTATATTTATTTATGTATATGTGTGTTGAGGAGAATTTTTGAGAATTGATTCTTTGTTGCCACCATGAGGTTTCCAGGAATTAAAATCAAGTCATCAGACTTAGCAGCAAGTGTCCTTTACCCACTGAGTCATCTCACTAGCCCGCTGACTAGGATTTAGTAAAAAAAAAAAATGTAAGCATCTGTAAATTTTTAAGAAAATGTGCTGTGATGTATTTCTTCATTAATGTATTAAACACTAATTTTATTTTACTCAATGTTAGAATTTCTCTAGTAAAAAAAATCCTTGAAATCTGGTTGCTTTAGATCAGGAAAAAAAAAAGATGGCTTTGTCCCTTAGCATCCTGCTACCCCTGCAGTTGATGATTTGGGAATGACAGCTGACAGAAGAGTTATTGGTTTATTTTTGTGCAGGTTATGGGCCAATTGATGAGACGCTTATGGAAAAAACAATAGAAGTTCTAGAACGGCCACTGCCATCAAAATATGAACCATGCTATTGAGACAGAAGAAGGGCTAGGAATAGAATATGATGAAGATGTGATCTGTGACGTGTGCCGGTCTCCAGACAGTGAAGAAGGGAATGATATGGTATTCTGTGATAAGTGTAACGTCTGTGTGCATCAGGTTAGTGGAAATGGAGACTGCCCCCTCATACAGAGTCAACATATTAGTGTTAAAGTCAAAAGACAACTTTTGGGATTTGGTTCTTCTAGTATTGGAGTTCAGAAGTTTAAACTAAAATCATCAGGCTTAGTCCAAGTGTCCTTAATCTGATATCTCATTGTTCCAATGGTCAGCATTTTTGAAGCTCAGTGATTATTATTTCTAACACTCATATCTGAACAATGTCTTATATTTAAAGGTGAAAATCAAAATTAGGCTTTGCTGTTCTTCAGTACTTCTAGAAACATTGCTTGTGGTCCCTAAGCTGCTTTACCTACTAATATTCCCCCAAGAGGCTAAACCTAGGCCTTTATTGTGTCATTTCATGTCTAGACCATTGAGATTTTTCTCAT